CTTACTCTGGACATGCTTCAGTTTGCCACATCCACCAGACCTCTGTTACTGTGGCCAAGGCCAAACACACAATCACACATCACAAAGACCATGCCCCCACTCTTGATCTCAGCTGACCACGAGCTGTTAACTCCAAGCCTGTTACTGGATCATTAACCTGCCAATGGGTATAAGATGTGTCTCCTCCCGGGCACTCATCCACACGTACCCAGGTGTTAAATTCAATAAGAGTCTTAAAATTGAAGGAACCTTTTAGCATCAAAAAGCAGGAGACCTTGGAAGGGAGTTTGCTGAGTGAATGAAAGACCCAAAAGAGTAAAGCTAGAATGACTGGATGATTGGTGGATACTTTGAGGCAGGGCAGCCTGAAGCCCCTCATATCTTACATACCGACAGCCTCTTTCTGGTTTGGAGGGAAAGACCAATGAGGCACGTGGCCCAAAGCAGGATTTTCATGTTCCAGAAGAGCCAGTGTGTATGTGTGTGTGTGGACAGTGTACGTGTGCCTGTGTGCACAGCATCCCAGGGTTCTCCCGGCCTGAGAGACAGATTCAGAGACAGAGAGGACAGGCTCTGCCCCTGTGTCCTGGACACTCCTCCCCACGAATCCCAACAGACCACACTTGGGAGAAGGGCTCTGGGCCGGGCCCTTCTAAGCTGGATTTCAATAACACGGCCGGCTTCTCTAGAAACCCATCAGAAAGGGTCCACTTTGAAGCTTTACTGTAGAACTCCTCATGCTTCCAACTTCAGCATGGTCTGACTTTCCAGAAGCGACTCGCACCTCACATTTGCTCTTGACGCATCAAGAACTATGATTTGTGCCTCTTCCTGTCAACTTGATCAATCCCCAAATTCATGTTCTTCCTCTATGGCCTCATTCTCCATTTTTCAAAGAACTGCAAACGTTGCATTTTGATTTTGGTGGTGGTGGTGGTGGTGCTTCCTCAGAAGATAGGCCTATTTATCTTTATTTAAGGCTGAGAAAAGAATCCGAATAGATGATTACTGATCCTTTTATTTCTTCCTGGGCTTCTGATGAGTGGCTTTCTTGCCTGGTATCCTCTGTACAGCTGGGAAAGGCACGGAACTGAGGTGCTGACAGCTTGTGTTGGAATCACATGCTGTTTACTGTGCTGAGAGTTTGTGATGGCCTTGTTTCCATATTGACAGCAAACGCCATATGGAGAGAAAAAATCCTGTCAGATGAACCCTTAAGGAATCACAATATGGTACATGAAACATAATTGCTTTTGGAAATGGGGAGGGTACCTTGCTCAACTCATATAAGCTGTGCTGCACTCTCTGCCATAATTGAATACAACTGGAGTTTGACACAAAGTAATTTACTTTCCTTCTGTGTTTGTGCTGGGGAAGTTCAGCGGACTGGGAAAGGATGGGGCAGTTGGTTTTCCTCTCCTTGGGGGATCAGGTTGAGTGGGAGGTATCCAGAACGAAAACGCAGGTTCTGTCTGCAAGGCATTATGCCTAACAGGTGCGGGCTCCAGACCTGTCACCCTCTCGGCTCCCTCCTTCCCAGATTCCCTACTGTGGCTGACGATAACACTCATCTCACTTGACATTTTATTACTGTCACTTGAGATCTTGTCTGCTCACCCACGCCCCCACCCTTTCCAACAGAATCCAAGCTCCCTGAGGGATGGGACCGCATCCCATTCCCCCCACCCCCATTGATCCTGGCACACATTGAGATGGGTTAAATGTTATTGGCATGGCTATTCGTAGACCATCTGTGCATAGAAAGGTAGACTGAATTAAGGCAATAGTCCAAGGCTAGTTTTCGTCCCTAAAACACTTGGGGAGGGGGCCAAGAGGGAGACGTGGAAGGTGGCTCATCCACTTTGATCCAAGCATCCACTCAGGGGAGAAAGAAAGATTTTCGACTGCCTTCTTATACACAATATACTTAGAACTCATGAATTCCTGCAAAAACAGTCCCTGCCCTCAGGCAGTTTACACATGAAAGGAGAATGGGCTGTAAATCTCTGCAGTCTGTATGCCTGGTCACTTGCTCTTTCAATTGCAAGAGACAGAAACCCAACACCAACGGGCTTAAGCAAAGACTCTGTCAGGTAAATAAACGTGCAGCCCCTGCGGTGGCCTGGGCGGGCTGGCTTCAGGGGCTCCTGTGATGTGCGAGCACCCGGTTCTCTCTTCTCCACTCAGCTCCACTTTGCCCTGCTTCGTTCTCCCTGGGCTCTCGCTGCCTAGTGGGCAAGACAGTTGCGGCAGTTCCTGGTTGACAGCTCCTAAGGCCTTGCCATCCCAGAGAGGAGCTAGTGTCTTTCCTGGAAATTCTAGCAAAAGCCCTGGAAGGACTCCAAGGCCCAATCAAGTCACATGCCCTGAACCTATCATTGTGGCCGGGAAACAGAGGGCTCTGATTGGCTAGGCCTGAGTCACATGCCCATCCCTGAACCTATCATTGTGGCCAGAGACAGAGGGCTCTGATTGGCTAGGCCTGAGTCACATGTCTGTCTCTGAACCTATCACTATGGCAGAAACAGAGACCTATTGTCTAGGACTAAGTCATGGGCCCATCCTTGAACATATTTTGTGGTTGGGAGACAAAGGGCTCTTATCGTTTAGGACTGAGTCAGGTGCCCATCCCTGAGGCCTGGGTGCAGTCAGCCTCCTTAGAACCTTGGGCTGGATTTTTACAGATTTGGGTAGAGGAGATTCCCTGAAGTAAGGGAGACAGAACAGACCAAAAAACCCATATCCATGATGATAACAGATGGTGTTTATTAAGCATTTCCTATATGCCAGCCTCTGGCCTCCTGAGTCCTTTGTATGCATTATCTTATTTTAATCTTCATGACAGTCCTAAGAGATAGGTACAATTACTGTCCCCAGTTCATAGACGAGGAAACTGAGGGATAAAAGTGTCAAGTCAGTTGCCCCAGGTCGCACAGGCAGTGAGTGGTGAGGCTGGGATTTGAGCCCAGGAGGTTTAGCTCCAGAACCCATGTCACAGCCACCACCTTCCCTATAAGTAACAGTTTTCCCTCCTGTGGATAAACTCTTTGGGTATGAAAGTGAGTTGGCTGATGGTTGTGTTCATATCTCCTTGTGTTCTGTATCTCCAGAGACACCCCCTCTAAGGGGACGATTGTCCTGGCTTCTCCTCCACATTCGGCAAGGCTGTAGTCATTCCTTCCATCCAGATAGCTCTCCCAAGCAAGGACTAACTCACTGTCTTCCCAGTTTCCCCAGGAAGTCACTTAACCGTTTCCAGTACAGCTGCAGAGTCAAAGGGCCAGTGTTCAATGCTCAAGAGAGTTCGAGGCAGTGTGTCTCAGTCCTTTTAGTACCTTTCTGGCCAGCGAAAACCTCTTGCAGAGGCTTCAGCATCATTGCAGGAAGAGCCAGAAGGGACCTTTCCATCTTACCTCCAACATATGCCTACATTTTTCAGAGGAAGACTGAGGCCCAGAGAGGGCAGTGAGTTGCTTGAAGTCACACTGCAAGTCAATGACCAAAACCCTGGTCACCAGGCCTCCAGATTTGGAGTCTGACCCTGCATTTCTTCTTCAGAATTCTCTTGGCTACTAAGTGGCTGAGGGCTGGTCACTTCCTCTCTCCATGCGTAGAGCTCTTTAGCTGGAAAATCCAGGGTTTTCATAATTGGAAGTGTCCTAAGACTCGGCTTTGCTCCAACTGGGCAAAAATGAAATTATTATTATTATTATTATTTGCTGTATCTATTAGCATTCTTTGAATTACAAGTAATTTTGTGATCTTTCCAAACTGCCCTAAACAAGGCTCATAAATAAGCTTTTCCAGTGTTGTTTAGGCTGCAGGCATGGTTTGGTCTAGAGATTCACGACACCACCAACTCTATCTACTTCTTGTAATTTTCCCAGCTCTGACTCCTCCGTGTATCAGCCTCATCCTCATAGCAGCTGCCCTTGCAGTGTCAAGAACACTGCAGCAGATCTGACCTCACACCCATGCACCGCAGCATCCAGGGGAAGAGAGAGCATCTCTGCTCAGCAGGCCCAGGCAAAGTCTGTGGTTTGCTCTGATTTTACTGGCTTGGGTTACATACCTGCCACACTTATCCAGTCACCATAATCAAGGAATGTGACGTGCTGACCGGCCAGCCAAGGGGTGGAGTCATAGTCCCCAGAACTGCTGGCGTCTCCATATGGAAATCAGGGCATTGGAAAGGGAGGGGGAGTGGGCTGGGAGGTGGAGGCTGGGTCATAACCGGCACTTTCCTCTACACTGACCTTGTCACCCTCTGAGTCTGCAGAGCCTAGAAATAAATAAGAAGTCCTGAGAGTTGCCAGTCACCTTGTTTCATCCATCTGGTGTGCTGGATCCAGGTGTGGGTTGACGGGACAGCCCTGACTGACCTTCTCCTGGGTCTCACCACCTTCTTCTTTTCTTCTCTCCAGACAGAGATTACTGCAGTTTATGTGACAAGCAGCCAATTGGGAGGCTACTTTTCCGGCAGTTCTGTGAAACCAGACCTGGGCTGGAGTGTTACATTCAGTTCCTGGACTCAGTGGTAAGTCCCTGCGCCTGGCGGGGTGGCCCTTTGGTCCTTTGTGATCAGGGATCGTTTTTGTCCAAAGGAAAATATAGACCACATGGTTTAGAAGGATGAAGAATAAACTTATTGCTTAAGAAACTTCCAGTGCAGACTTTAAGAATGGAGACTTGTCTCCAGGTCTGCACCTGCTGAGTGACAATGGGTGGGCCACCTCCCTGGCTGGGCCTCGGTTGCTGCTGCTTTATAGTGAGGCCCTGTCAGCCCTCTGATTCCAAGGGCCTGAGTTACTATGCAGGGGAGTGCCTGGGGAAGTCAGGTGGTTTTCCCAACACCCCAGGGTGGCTCTCGGATTCCATGGCCCCTTCCCCAGATGAGAACCCATTTTCTAAAATTCCAAAGCTTGTGTGTGTTTGTGTCCTTGTTTGCTGTCTGCTTCTCTGCTAGAATACAAGCTCTCTGAGGCAGGACCTGGGCTCACCCCTGCTGAGCACAGAGCATGGCACATACAGGCGTTCAGTAGATGTTGGTGGAATGAGCGTGTGTTGGCTGTTTCAAGCCAATCTGACTGCTGCTGCCTTCACTGGCTGCTGGCACGCATGGGCATGCTTGACACCATGGGGACTTCCTTCAGATATACTGGTCATTTATTTGTTTAACAAATGCTGATTGATCTGCATGGGCCTTTAGGACAAGATGTAGAAATATGCAGGAGTTCCTTGGCCCTTGCCCAGGAAGGCAGGACTCCTCAGCCTGGGCGATTGCTCTTTGGGTTTCTATCCAAGGAAGGTGGACAAGGGGTGAGGAGGTGAGGAATGGAGACCAGTCATGAAAGCAATGGGGTCATCAAGGGCCCCCCTCCCTGGGCAGGGGACCAAGATGCTGTGGTTTCCTGGAGGCCCTAATGCCATCATTGGCTGCAGCCATTGTGACCTCTGTCTTGGTTTGGGAGACAGCCCTGTGGGGCCCAAGTTTCTGTGTCTGCTTCAGGGTCTCCATGTGGATGTCTAGACCAAGCCAAACTACCCATTGAAGGTCTCCACCGGAAGTCACATGGGTCCCTTCAAAGTCAACATGTCCAAAACACACTCAGCGCCTTCCCCAGGTCCCCACAGCTACCAGCTCTGATGTGTTCCCTGTTCCAGTGACCAGCACCCCACAGCCACCCAAGCCTGAAATCTTTGCGTTGTCCTTGTCCCCTCCCTCTCTCTCATCCCTTCCGCCTCCCGATCAAGGACCCTGTGCTTGCCTCTTTGGTCTCTCCCGGACCAGTTCCCTCCCCTGCATAGCCTGTCTTGGTCTTAGAGCAGGCTCCCGCGCATCTTGTATGTGATAGGATAGTTCTCAACCTTGGCTGAGCAGTCGAAACACCTGGGGAGCCTTAAAAAAATACGAATGCCCCAGCTGAAGCCCAGACTCATTAATTTGAATCTCTGGAGGTGGGGCCTAGTGTTTTCATAGCTTTTTATTATGGAAAATTTCAAACTATAAAAAGTAAAAATTGACAGAATAGTATAATGAACTCCCATGCACGCTTCACCCCACTTCAGCAATTATGAACTCATGGCCAATCTTGTTTCACCACATCCTCTCTTCTGTAGCATTTTGTAGCAGGTCTCACATATATTATGTCATCTGTGAACATTTCAGTATGTATCTCTAAACGATAAGCGCTCTGTAATAAAAAATACAATACCATTATCACAGCTAAAAAAAATAATTCTTTACTATCTTCAAATATTAGTCAGTGTTCAAATTTCTGATTTTCTCATATTTTTTATAAATGCGTGTTTTAACAGTTTATAAACATCTCCCCTTGTTCATCCAGAGGAGAGTCCCGTAGTCTGAATTTTGCACTCTCACCCCCATGTGTCATTTGATAGATTCCTCTGTATTTCTTATAAATTGCTCATTGAATCTAGAAACTTGGTCAGATTCAGTTTCAATTTTAGTGGTTGGGGGGGATTGACTTCATAATTGGTTTCATATTCTTCCATCAGGGGGTATATGATATCTGGTTGTCTTTCTTTTTGAGATGGCAGTAGCCATCAATATTCAATACCTAAATCTGTTGATTAATTAGGAGTTGCAACATGGTGACTTTCTATCATTCCTTCTTCATTTGCTGACTGGGAAACACCTCCTTTCGATTACTATTTGGTTTCCCAGTCGTAAAGTTCATATGAGAAATGCTTGATTCTTTCCCTGTATTTCTGTTTTCAAAGTACCAAACTGGTTCATTAGCATCCTCCAATACAAACTCCGATTATAGAGTTTTAAACGTGTGGATTTAAACATGGATGTGTTTTCATGTGCGGTAGTCGTTATCCTTATTGGTGCTCCATGGTCTCGTCGTTAGCCACTGGAGCCCTTCAGGTTGGCTCCTGAGCTCTTGAGAGGACCCCAGTGGTCCCTGGCAGCCTCCTTGCTGTCTGTGTGATGCAACGTTCTGAGCTCATGTTGTGTGTTTCCCGCCCTAAACCTGGAGTCATTTCTCCAAGGAAACTTGGTTCCTTTTACTGGGAAATGGTACTTGGAGACCACAGTTTGGCGCTGGGGGTGCCCGTTACCACTAGATTGGCCATCGTTTACAGCAGACATTGGCATTTTTCAGATTCCCAGGACTGTCCTGTGTGTCCAGGGTTGGGAATCATTGACATCAGGATAAAATTGCAGTTCTGAGACTGACTTACCAGACCTTCCACTGATGGGCCCCTGCCCTCCCTTTCATCCTTGACCTTCCTCCGGGTCTTTCTTGAGCTCTGCATTTTGGCCTCATCACCTGCTTGTGGTGGCTCTGACTTGCCAGGCTGTTGAAGCCTCTCGGCCCTGGCTCCCTCACCCTCACTGCCTGAAATGCTTCCCCACGTCCCCTCTGCCTGGCGAATCCCTGCTCGTTCTCCCGCTCTCTGCTCCCAGAAGTCTTCCCCGACCGCCCTCTCTCCCTGCTGTGCCCTCTGCTCCAGGTGCTTGCTCCGACATGCACCTGAGTCTCATAATTGCACCATGCTGGCAGAAGAGCATCTTGCCTGAGAGCGCAGGCTCCAGAGACAGGCCGCCGGGGCCATGCTGGCAGTGAGGCCTTGGGCAGGTTCTTAACCCATCTGTGCCTCACGTCTTCATCTGTGAGCGGAGACATACTTGTATCTGATTGTGGGAGAGGCGTTGATGAGTTCACTAAATGAGTTCACGCTGCTCAGAGTGGTGTCCGGCATGTCACAGCTGCCCAGTGCATGTAGCCTTTAGGGGTTTACCTGTATGCCTGTCTCCTCTGCTAACCAGAAATCTCTTGGTGGCAGAGACGTAGCTCGTCATCTGTGAATCCTCGGCCCACAGCGCCACACCTGACTGGTGGTTGATGCTCAGGACTCGGGCCCAGTGGGGACAGCGACTGGCCCAGAGTCACACCACGAGTGAGTGGCAGAGCTAGGCGTGAACCAGGTCTCCCAGCCCCCAGCCCACTGCTCTTTCCGCCACATCACGCTGCCTCTGAGGTGACATGGATTTTGAATAATTGGCTCAGGCTTTCTAGGGTCTGCGGTGGTGTGGGCTCGTTGTTTAAAGTAGACCTACTGTGAATCCTTTTGCAAAGCAATCCCTCAGTGCCCCCACGAGCCTGGGTAGTGATGCAGTACTTCTCCCAGATTGGATTTTCTTAAATCAAGACCCAGAAATCTGAAAAGCCAAGACTCCCTGATTCTGTTCTCAATCCCACTCTGTAGCCAGGCTGGCAGGGCATTCGGTTGTCTGTTTTGTTTGTGAACTGGCAGGTTTGGACCCATTACACATCACAGGGATTCCTCCCGTCAGGGTCTTTGTGGTCATCGGACTTGGGGGCTACTGGACAAGATGCATCCACAGCCCCCAGCCCAGCCCACCTAAAAGTGCCTGGAGCCTTCACAACCCTGAGTGGCCTGTGAGCCCTTAGCAGGACCTGGGTGTTGGTTTCCTTTCTCCTGGGGTCATGGAACACTATGACCCTGGCGAGGTCTTCACTAGGGGAAGGAAGAGAAGCCCCTGCATCATGCTCCTGGCCATTAGTTTAGTCTTTCCTTCGTGTAAGAGAAGTACTCTCTGCCAGGCATGGTAATAGGCTCCTGAGATAAACGGCCGAATAAAATGCACCAAGGTCTCCGCCCTCGTGGTGTTTACATTCTCTCCAGGGAGAGAAGGTCATAAACAAGAAGCATAATAAGTAAATGATGCAGAATGTTAGAAGGTGATAAAGGGGATGGAAGAAGAAAAACTGGAGCAGGTAAGGGGACGTGGGGGTGTGGAAAGGGAGAGGCTGGTTATAGGATTGAGTAGGGCACTTGGCAGAGATGTCTCTGAAAGGCTGACGTTTGACTGAGGGCCAGAAGGAGTTGAGGGAGTTGGCTGGGTGTGTGGTGGAAGAATATCTCAGGCAGCGGATCAGCCAGGGCGAAGGCCAGCAGGCAAGGGTGTTGGTGGCTGGAGCGGGGGGAGCAAGAGCAGAGGGGTCCGGGAGAGGTGTGTCAATCGTGTAAGACCTTGTGCCATTAAAAAACTTTGACTTTGACTTTGAGTGAAGTGGGGGAGCCGCTGGAGGGTTTTGAGCGGAGCAGTGGCGCGATCTGACTTAGGTAATTGTAAAGGACCCTCTGGCTCTTGTGTTGGGAACAGGCTAAGGGGGGCAAGGGTGGGAGTGGGGAGCTCTGATAGGAGGCTCCTGCAGCCGTCCAAGTGAGGGCTGATGGTGTCTCAAGCCAGCGTGGAAGCAGTTGGCAGTGGTGAGAAGTGGTTGGATTTGGGGCATGTTTTGAAGGCAGAGATAACAGTATTTTCTGATGCATTGGGGGTGAGAGAGAAGAGTTATGGATGGCTGCAAAATGTTGACATGAGCAGCTGGAAGGATGGAGTAAGGATAAGGTTTGGGGAGGCTCGTTTGGGGGAAGATCAGGAGCTCCATTTTAAGCACCTTCAGCTTGAGACATCTATCAGACATCCAAGTGGAGATGTTCGAGGGGAGGTGGGTGTTCAAGTCTGGAGAAAGGTCTGGGCTAGAAGTAGAAAATTGGGAGTTGTCAACGTATAGCTGGTATTTACATCCATGGGCTGGATGAGCTCACCAAGGAGATGAATGTGGATGGAGGAGAGCTGGGGACCAAAGACTGAGCCCTGGACCAAGGCTGCTCCCCATTTGGAAAAAAATGAATCATCAGCAGCTTTGGGACCTGTCTAGAGAGTTGATGAGGCAGAGCAGGGTAAGGCTAAACCCAGGAGCCAGTGGAATTTTCCAGCCACGTGTCTTGTTAGACGCTTATAGTCAGTTTGAGAAGAAGAAAAAAAAAGTCCAACGGATGCCCATTTTCATTCTGGTCGTGCAGACGTTCCCTTTTGCTGGGCCTGTACCAAGATTTTTTTTTTTTGGAAAGGAAATGTAAGTCTGGCTCCTGGTGTTGACGCGACAAACGCTCTTTACTTGTGCCTTAATGAAGCCACCACTCACAAGAGGCTGCCTCCGT